GTTATTGCTTAATCAGTAATCTTAGTGTATGCAAGATCTGAATCAATGCTTCGAATAGGAGAGAAATCCTGAGTGTGTTTATGTAAATGCAGTTTGCCTGTGCTACGCTTAGATGTGTTAGATATTCAATTGTTACAGTGGTGTTTTGCCCCTTGTCTCCAATTTGGCTATTGTGGGGTCACAAATTGTGTTAACACTAAATAGAGGAAATGTGAGATGTGGTCAACAATGCTTGCAGTTATTGAGGGAATGCAGAAAAGTCAGGCTGTGTTTAACTCTGTTAGGAGAGACCCTGTCAGCGTAAATACACTTGGATGGACAGAGGCTAGACTTCCAGAGCCCTATAGCCTAAGTAAGGGTGGGAGCTGAGTCAGCAGGCTGCATACCCTCCAGGCATGACCTGTAAGACTGATTCAACCTGTTTCTCCTGGCTGTTTCAATGATAGAGTTAAAGAAAGGCTCCATAAAGAGTCTCTTTTGTTTGTAAATTTACTCCAGTGGATGCTGGAATCTCTTGTGGCAGGACTGTGCTTTGGGATCAGCGCTGAAATCACTAGGTTTGGCCCAGAGCCAAATCCACCACAAGCCAGTGGAAGATGCAATGAGCAGTCAGCAGGATGGCAATGGATAGGCATGAGGAGCAGCCAGCAGAAGGGCACCAGAGAGAAGTGAACAGGCAGATGGTGAGTGATCAGCAGAGTGGGTGAGATTCCTCCTACCTCCCCCCCCCGCAAACACACTCAGGATGGGAAGTGAACTCTGGAGATCACCTCTGAACTCTGGTCTGCCCTGACCAAGGGCAGCAACTGTGAATGGGATGCAGAGAAGGGTTGGGCATGTGAAGGGGACATTTACATTGCTAGATATAAGAGTTTGAGAGGAAAAGGACATTGCCCAACCTACTTGGGCTGGGACTTTTACTCATGCTTTGGTTATGAGCTGCGTTTGTGGTGTTTTCCCAAGTTAATGCCATGTTACTCCTTTCCCCTTTTATTAAAAGTTTCTTTTCCACTTTCAGACTGTGCTTATGAATTTTCCAGGTTACTGGGTGGGGGCTTGAGCTAGTTCTGTGATGGTATTTAATGGGTCTATTATCTGCACAAGAGGCAGGAGAATATAGTGGGGAAACCAGATTCTGACAACACCAAGGATGGGACGTCAATATGGCAGTATAGAGATGCTTTGGTGGTCCTACGTCATCTGAGGTTTTCTCTTAGGAGAAATTACCAACTATCTGATTAAGCCAACTGTATGATCCCTTTGTGAAGGCAGAGTGGTACCCAGGGACCATAGTGGTCTGAGGAATCAGGCCCAATAGTATATTATAAACATTTCTTTCTCTATCACAGATCCTATTCACATTTTGCAGTTCTTTTCCCCTTCCTTCATGCTGAACCCTGATGAGAGAATTCAACACAAAGTCAAGCAGTCATTATCAGATGAGACGTTCAATTATTAGATATGAGGCCTGCACTTTTGGGAATGGAAGAAAAGCTAGCTCATACAATTAGCTGGAGGGTACTTCTACGATACTCAAATTTACTGGAATCTGGCTTCTATTTTAGTTGATAAACTATGTGCCCTTGTACTGTTTCTGACATGAGAATCCAGTTTTGATTTAAAAGTTAATATTTTGATAACTGAATTTTTATTGAATTTTCAGGCTAATATATTTTATTGGAATGACTTACATCAGTTATGGCTGCAGTACACAATTAAATGTATCTGTCTCAACCCAATGTATTGAGTCACTGGGGAAATTAAGAAAAGAGAAAGCTTCACACAGAATTATTCTTGTAGTATTATAATATTTTGGAGAGATTGCAACATTAGAAAAAAGGATATGCAACCCAGCAAGCAATATGACTCATTTCTGCCCATGATATTCCCCTGTCTGTAACAGTCCTGCCAGCAGGTTGTCTGTGCAATAGGAAACCAGAAATAATTTAACATGTTGCATCTCGATGATCAATCTTTGCAGGTTCATTGACAAGTTACACTACCAAGCGGGTGAAAATAATCTACACTGGGAATTGTTGAAGTGTAAACTAGAATGTGATGAAGTATGAAGACATAAGAGCAAGAAATACTTCAGAATAATGATCTATAAATTCTGTATGACTCAACAGCTATACAGGTAGAAAAAGCCCTGCATGACTTGGGCTTATTTAAGAAAACTTGAAAGCAGAATTAATCATTGATGTGGCTATTTCTGGAGATGGAACAATGTTTGAAAGGAAGGAAAATGTGAGATATATACAGACAGAGTGACTGTGCCATAAAATAAGATTTGTCTTGGTAATTTAGCAGTAAAAATAAAGCATGGTCAACTCCAGCATTCACCAAAAATATGTTGGACATAGACATTGTCTGGATTTACACACTGTACATGCTAGAGCTGCCATTCTGCAATTTCCTCAAGCATTCTGTATCTGTTCAGGGAACCATGGTTCATTTGGTTGCTCCCACAACTGAAACAGAATTGATCATTGGATTATTATGGGGGATACATACCATAGCCCAACATTTTCTGCATTATCAGAAAGAGCAGATTCTGATTTTTTTCACCCCAAGTACCAAAGAATAAAAACTTAATCAGCATAGGGTGAAAGATGACAATACTTAAATAACAACCACCTGGATTTTAACACATGGATACAAAAGACCTAGGAAGAAAATAAGAAAAAGTTCTACTGAGAAAAAATCTGGAAAGAATTACTGTATTAATGAAATGATTCCAGAGAAAAAAAGAAGTTGAGAAGAGGCAAAAAAAGAAAAAGGTCAGGAGAGTTTGAAAACTGACTGGAGAAATGATAAGTTGTGTGTCAACTATATAGGGGTGTAGAATAGGTGGGGCAGAAGGTAGGATCTAGCCAAAAACATCAGAAAAATACTGACCTAATGTTTTGAAATCTTGGAAAAATCAAGCATACTATTTCAGCTAAGACCACTGATAAGAAAAGTTCTACAAAAACCTCAATTATTATATGTTGGATCAAACTTGGAAGTGGTATACAGAGAAAGAAACTGCATACAGTTTCTTGGCTTTTGATATAGATAGACCAGATAAAGGATCTGCTAATATCCTGGAAAGAACCTAAAAGTGCCAGATTTTGATTTCAGTTTTTCCCATGTGATTATGCAACCAGATATTTGCAGTATCTTGCCAGATTTCCTGTATCACGACAACACTAAATTTTTCTTCATCTTTGTTCTCAATAGACAAATGATGACTTCTGCATGAGAGACATTGAATATTTCCTGTAATTTTAGGGTGGTAACAGTATATAATTAATTATTAGAAGGACACTATCTACGCAGTATTTGGGTAATGGATTTTATATTAATAAAAAGCCAGATGCTTAATTTGCAACTATTGCCTCTTTGTTAGCTCTTAAAAAATAAGCAAGTTTAATTTGGTCAGTAAAGCAAGGGAAC